CAATCTTCTTCTCGTTTCCTCGTCAATTTCGTTCTTCTCCTGGTATTTCCATGCTTCTGACGTATCTAAAACCATTCTTTCTGGTTTCGAGATTCCCGGAAAATCTGATTGTTATTTGCGTTCAAGGTGCAACCATGTGACGAACTCGACATCGCCTCCAAAATCCTCGCCGTCTCTGATTTCATACCGAAAGTAAGGTCACATGATTTCTGTTCCTCTTCTTCTGGTTGATTTCGCAATATTGACTCGAACATGCAATTATTTTGTTTGTTTACTCAGATCTCGTCACCATTCCTCGAGGAAATCTCGAGCTTGCTTCAGCGAGAAACTGGAGCTGATCCAGTCAACAAAAATTCAGGTTGTATTCTGCATCAAAATCGCTTCTTTTCCCTCCGACTTTTCGTATTTGTTCTTATAGTCATTGCATTTGTCTTGTCCGAAATGCATGTGTAGTTCGATGATAACGCTGATGGCCAAAGTACGTTAACTGAGACTTTTGTGTTTTCTGGTGACTTGTGTAAGAATGTTCCCTTTCGTTAGTGTCCGGAAAGAGTTATGTGGAGGGGAGTTGTGTCATGGACAAGGTCGATCATGGGCCATTGCGGAAACATAAAAAGGGCGTGGCGGCGATGGTTGGGCTAGATGCAATTCAAAGAGCAAACTCAACGCTAGAGGACTTTGTGAGTCCTCAGATGTTTCATAATTCGATAATATTGTTATTATTCTCTTCTTGAATGTCAATGATTGGAGCCCAATATTAGTTCATATAATATATAAACAATAATAATGAAACTGAATTTATAATCTACATTGTTGGCAGTGCAAGTTTTCTCTTATGATCAGTATGCAGAATTATATGTTTGGTTCAGAATTTGCCTTCTAACTTCAACAACCTTATTGACAGTGCAGGTCTTATTTTATGTTTCATGGGTTAGACATTAACAAGCCGCAGTCGATATTTAGATATTTACCTGTGCTTTCATTCACAGAGAGTTACATATACCAGGTGATGGCCTTGCTACAATCATGTATTTTCTTGTTCATTCGTCCTTATAGGATGTAAGTTGCACAATGTTTATTGGATATGTTAGTATGCTGTTTTTTTCCCTTTTAATCTTTCATCATTCCTTCTTAGAAATCATATATTTGTTGCTGCAGATGGATGCTCTGAACGAGAAGATAGTGCGTTCATCAATCTGTGGATCTGAAGTCGCTGTAAGAGATTAGCATCACCACCGTATAGGATTCTGTGAAATTTCAGTCTAATAACAGAGTGGTCTGAGATGCAAAGCTTATGATGTGAGATGCAGGAAACAAATCATGGATGGAGTTCGGAATTGGAGACTCTGTTTGGAACTGATCCATTTAAGCCACTTGCTGGTCAGCTTGAAAGTAATGGCCTTTTAACAGAAAGGTACTTGCTTGCTATTAATTTCTGTTTCATTTTATCGGAGCAAGATTAAAAAAATGGATGCCCTTATTATTGTTAGTTGTTTGATGTACTAGGATACGGGAAGAATTTAGGTCGGGAGAAGAGTACTGGGCGTTAGAAAGAAAGCTTTGCCATGCACTTGCGAACAAACACAAGGTAACTCTGGTTTTGCATAATTCCGGTGTAACAGTTACTTACTGTTTTTTGTTATACAATATGGTTACATTTTCCTTGTCTTTTAAAGATCTTTATTGAAGATGTGATGAGGGCAATTCATTTGAAGTCCTTTGATTACCGGGTCTTGAATCTTTTACTATACGAGCTGAGAGGAGAACAGGTGCATCCATCTGCATTGTTCTTTTTCACCAACAGTCGTCTAAAAAAACACGTATCTAATCCTACCGGGGATTCTGTGTTTTTTTTTTCTTTTAACTTTGGACAAGGTGAATGAACTGCATATGGAATTCTTGTCCATTTCGGAGTTCCTTGTTGAAGTGTCTGATGATCTGTAGGTGTCTCCTTTCCCCACATTCATCTATGCTTATCCACATTTAAGCTAAACAAGCACAAAATTGAATCTTCTTAAACTCTAATTTGTCACAATAATGCATTTGCAGGTTCGACTATGAGGTAAAAAAACCTCTTAACACTGCCAGAGGGTCCCGTCTCTCTGCTTCTGAAAATCTCGTAGGTTTTCATATTTGGTCAAAGCAATATGAGTTTGTTAAGGTTCAGAATCTCAATCAGCTCCTTAGAGAAACTCCAGCAGCTTTATTGAACACCCAAACCAGGTACAACTAGGATAGCTTTGATTAGAGAGAGGCCCCTACTCTCTTTCCCACCCAATTCTCAACCAGAAAATACCTAATCCCTTTCCACCTCCTCCTTTCTTTATACAATTCCCTCTCCTAACAGAATCCTCTAACAACTACCAATCATAACGAAACAACTAACAAAAACAACCAAACAAATGTCAACACCTATATGCTATCTACACAAACAAACAAACACCACAATAGCTGCGTATCTTTACCCCTAATCACTCTATAGTACTTATCAGAGTTTCGGTTGCAGGATGATGTGATCGAGAACAATTTCAATATACTCCGCATGTTTGTCAGAATTTTCGGACCGAGGAATGCCGCAGCTGAACTGGTAAGTACTCTCACTGTTCCTTCGTGTCTGACCACTTAAAAATAATGTGGTGGATGGTCTCTGAGAGTTAAAAATTGTGCAAGGCAAGGTACATATCAGAGGCTGAAGAGAAGTATGAACATGTTATGGGAACCTTAGATCAAAGCTTGTCATTTAATTACCAAAGAAGATGCCAAGAAGCTACAAGAGAAGGTAACAGGGAATGGAGTATCCTCTCAAAGTTTGTGTCCTGTCCTGATTTCACATGTGAACTTTTTTTTTTCCTGGGCTAACTGTCAGAGAGTGTAGGCGGGGAAATATCTGGGCATTCACTGGGAACATGGAACATACCGGCTGTTATTTCAGACGAGGAATCCTACCGGTCTCTATCATCAACTGGTACGTCAAAACAACATTGGCTGTGTCACAAATCCAACCACATCAAATATTTATATATACACAAAAATTTATGACACTATTAACACAGATTTCTGTTTTTCTCTGTCAGGTAGACAAGAAAACAAAGGATGATGCAGAGCATCATAATAGACATTCAATGATAAACCCCATGAGAGAAAAGTTTGACGAGGTTTCAAACGGGAGTATACTCTACATTCAACATTTAAAAAAAATCATCCAACAAAATGAATCCAATAGTCAATTATGGTAAATTTTCTACCTGCACTGCCCCTCCTCCCCTCACAAAGCCCTCCTTTATGCCGCGTAATTTATTCCATCAGAGATTAATCCAGTCTCTCCTATGCTTTGAGAGAGTGTGTGTGTGTGTGTGTATCATTAACAAGCGCATCCACCTCGTTGTTGCTCGGCCTGAGAAGAATTGGTCGATGGCTTCAAGTTAACATCCACCATGTCTTCCTGTTTTGTCGAGGAAAGTGTCTCCATCCCTGGCAGGGCTGCTGCTATCTTGCGAAACAGCGGCTAGCGTAACGGACAACATTCAAAGTCATGTATGGATCAGTTGACATATCATCTAAAGACAAGACAAGTGATGGTCTTTTCTTCTCACCTTGATGTTGAATCCTGCTTTGGCACTTGTCTCTATGAACATTACTCCGAACTCTCGAGCTTTGTTGTCCCCCTCCTCTATTGAGACTTGCCTGTTTCACATCAACCAGTGCACACATTTTTTTGGGACCAGCAGAGATAGAAAGACAACTAAAACGGCATGTCCAGGGCTTCTGTTGGTGTTTCGAGGTTAAAAAAAGAAGAATGTTTTAAGGAGTTTCAAGCCAAAAGGTCCCATCTTTTGTATGCCCAAGAGCTCGCTCATCCCGTAAGTTCATCCATGGTTTTGCAGATTTCGGGTGGAGAGTCGACCAAGAAATTTGGTATCGGCAGATTGATCTTTTACCTTTTGTCCACGAGATCGGTTTTGTTACCCACGAGAACAATGATAACATCACCGCCTCTCTCTGTACGGACTTCCTCGATCCACTTCGAGGTGTTCAAAAACGATTGCCTATCTGCATTGTTGAGAAAAAAAGATGGAGCCTTTTCACGAAACTTCCCATAATATAATCTAAAACCCTATACCTCATCTGCAGTAGTGATTCACTAAGAATGAACTAGTGTGGCAAAGATTTGATAATCCAGCGCCGACAGACAAAAGAAACCGTGTGTTCGGAAAGTTTAATAAAAACATGAGAGAGAGAGGTCTTACTTGCCACATCGTAGACAATTACAGCAACGGAAGAATCTCTGATGTAGCTTGGTATTAGACTCCGAAATCTCTCCTGCCCAGCTGTGTCCCTGCGTCGTTACAAATTTATCTTCACTGACCACACTCACATGCACACGGAGAAACACTAAAGATAATCTCACAAGACTTCTCTACGTATTTCTAATGACAATGAACAAACCATACAAAAACTCGTGGTAGCATATAGGATCAGCACCGAGAATTTCCATTGACTGAACTGTATTCAAAGAACAGGGAACTGAAAACTCTCAGCCATCGCAGAATGGATTGGAGGGGGGGGGGGGGGGG